AGACTCCATGGCATTCCGAGCTCAATCATTTCAGACCACGATAAGGTATTCCTGAGTCGTTTCTGGTCGGAGTTGTTTCGCCTGCAAGGTACCTCCCTCCGACGTAGCACGGCCTACCACCCACAAACTGATGGGCAGACAGAAGTGGTAAACAGGTGTGTCGAAACATATCTTCGATGTTTTACTTATGACAAACCAAAGAGTTGGAGCAGTTGGATTCCTTGGGCGGAATCTTGGTATAACACCACATTTCATTCTTCTACAAACACAACTCCATTCAAGGCAGTTTATGGACGGGACCCTCCCCCACTGATTCGTTATGGTAGCCAGTCCACAGCAGTACAATCAGTAGAACATCAGTTATAGGCCAGAGACAATATTTTGGATGAATTGAAATCTCACTTGCAGCTTGCCAAGGAAAGAATGAAAGATGCTGCAGATCGTCATAGGCGTGATATCCAGTTGGAAGAAGGGGACTTGGTATATGTTAAACTCCGCCCTTATCAGCTCCGCTCTCTCGCCAAGAGGCCAAATGAAAAGATGGGGCCTAAGTACTTTAGCCCGTTTGAAGTCATAGAATGTGTGGGACCTGTGGCGTATCGCTTGAAGTTGCCTCCAACGACAGCTATTCACCCGGTGTTCCATATCTCACAACTGAAAAAGGCAATGGGGGCACAAGGAGCAAGTCGAGAGCTTCCTCCTCACCTTGATGCTAATCTAGAATGGACAGTAGAACCGGAAAAGATCTTGGACATCCGCCGCAAAACTGTAGGGGCTTCTACAAACATGGAAGTATTGATGCAATGGAAAGGGTTGCCTCTGTCTGAAGCTTCCTGGGAATCAGCTGAGTCCATTATGCAGCATTTCCCTGGCTTCCACCTTGAGGACAAGGTGTCTTGGGAAACCGGGGGTAATGTTAGGCCACCTATTCATTTCAAATATTCTAGAAGGGGGAAGAAGAGAATCTCGCAAGTGGAGGGGGGAAAGGGTAACTAAATTCTGTTTTGGAGGAAAGAGAATGTAACGACTTTCTGTTAGGGAAGCTTATAAATAAGAAAGGCCAGGAGAGTGTTAGGTAGGCGAAAATTTGAGTAGTAGTCTCGAGAGTCTTGTTTACAGCATTCTAAAGGCTTTACTGTCATTTCTTTTCGTATAATCGTTCTTTTTTTCAATATAAGTATCAATTGTTCTGTGATTGAGTTTATCTTTCCAGCAGTGTTCTATCAAAATCCAACCCAATTATTGAATGACATGTCAAATTACTTTATATGATTATATCCATACATTTCGTGAGACATATAATACTATCTATTTATACATTTCTCAATTCTATCTAGTTATAATTTAAATCAATTTTAAACAACTCCCAATCATGTTTACAACATATGACTGAGATCATGTTTAAAACACTAAAAATGATAGCTATCTATGCTGTCTAACAAGCACGTAATCGCATTGATATAAAGTCAAATAAAGATAATTTGTGTGTTAGTTTGTTTTCGTTAGCAGGGTTTTATTAAGTAAATTATATTTAATTGTTTGGAAGATACAAGTTTGGTTTAACTGTACATGCCCAAGGGGGATACCGTACTTTTCAATTGTTTCATTTTTTTTTTCACAAGATTAAAAGTCTCATTTGCTACATATGGTAATACATTCACGATTTTCCAAACACTTTAGGTAACACAATAGAACAAATTAACAATTCTATCTTCTTATTCAAATCAAGTAGGAGACAACTAAATACAGTATATTGATATGATGAAGCACGGCAAGCGCAACCAATTATTAACTAAGAAAATCTCCCCCATTTGCGAGGAGCAAAAATCCTAGATTATAGTCCACTTGACTTCTACTATAATAAACAATGGAGTACTAGAATCACTTGATAAGGACATTTTGTGCATATATTTGGACCATATTACTAGGTTTTATATTGTCAAAAGGTTAATATTGTACCTAATTTAATTTAATTTCATTTTGTTTCAATTTTGGACATGTTTCTAAGCGACTGAAAAAAAGAAAGAAAGAAGGATTCACTAGCCATTGGATGGAAGTTTGAAGACTAATATGCATTTGAATAAAAGTCGAAGAACCAAAATTGAAGTGATTCAAAGTGGAGGATGAAAATCAAGAAAAGAATGAAGAAGATGACTAAATTACAACATTTCAATAGTTGAATCGGACCATAAAATGAAGATTGAAGATGTTATAGGTTCAATTGGATGCAATTAAAAGTTAAATGACTAAAATTGCAAGAAAAAATGACTTAAAAGAATCAAGAATAGAATTTGGGTACCAAAACGTAAATGTCGAAAGTTGGTATAAATAGGTGACTACCTAGTTATAAAATTTGGGCAATTGCCCAGCTTGAATTTTCAAAAGCAAAGGCTGAAATACATAATTGACCGAGTGGCCAAATTTAGCCTGGGCGACCGTCTAGTTAACTGCGCTACCAGAATGTTGTTTTCGCTCAGAATTCAACTCCAACGTGGAAACTTCTTTTTGGGCCATTATTTACATGAGTTCTAGCAACTTTTGCAACTTCTTGAATAGTACTGTAAATACAACTTATCAACTCAAAAATAAGGTGGACAATTGATTGCAAAAAGAGGCAAAGAATACATCAAGATCGAATCCAAGAACTTCAAAATTGAATTCAAGATTTTTTTAGTGATAAACAATTTTTATATTTTTTGTTTTCGTCTTCACAAGGTTAAACGAATCTAGTGCTAGGATGACGATGAATTTTGTATCATAAAACCTTAATTCTTAATTTTAAGTCTTTTAACATTTAAACTCGTTTTCAATTATTGAACGTTTTTCATGAAATTATCTTCTTTATAATTATTTGCACAATGATTGTATGAATATTGTGACTTTTTTTTTATCTTCGAAAAATGAAAAATAAGTTAGACATAGTGTTAATCATTATAGAGTCTGATAGGAGATAAAAAATATACCGATATATTTTACGTGATCTTTCAGTATTTATAAATATTTAATGCATTCTTGTATGTTCACATCTGTTATAGAAATATAGTCGTACACATTTGAGAATGGATTTAATTCTACTTGAAAGAGATTGTTAAACAATTTGATAATATTGATCTTTATAATTGAATCGTGTTGTCAAATTGTAAGGTTAAGTTTAAAGGAATTTGGGATTCTAGTACGCTTTTCATCATCATATTTTCATAACATGTGCATTAATTTTAATTAAGTTAGGTCTTGAATTCATAAGTAGATTATTTGATATAATTTAGTTTTATAAAATCATCAATTTCCATAGTTTCTGTTAAGATCAACTTAATTTGAATTTGATCTAGTTTAATCATCGTGGGTACGATACTTGGATTTAAAATCTATTTTACTACTTATAAGAAGTTAAATGACCAAAATTGCAAGAGAAAATGACTTAAAAGAATCAAGAATAGAATTAGGGGACCAAAACGTAAAGTTGAAAGTTGTTATAACTGGGTGACTGTCCAATTATAAAAGTTGAGTGATCACTCAGCTTGAATTTTCAAAATAGATGTTGAGACATATAATTGGGCGAGTGTAGGCAAATGCGCCACCAAAATACTGTTTGCTATTCGTAGTCTTCACTGCCGGTAGTCGCCCTACGTGGCATACACTTGGCGATTCGGTATTTGATACACTAATATGGTAGTTATTTGTTGACTAATATATCAAATAAAAAGCTGCCAAATACACGCCACATAGGGCGACTGTCGGTAGTCTTCACTGCAAATAACATTATTCTTTGCGAGAAATTTAGAGACTTTTTGGAAATTACTATAAATACAACTTATCAACTTAAAATTAGGGTGGATAATTGATTGCAAAAAGAGGCAAATAACACATCAAAATCGAATCAAAGAGTTTCAAGATTGAATTCAAGAATTTTTGGATCATGAACAACTTTTATATCTTTTGCTTTCTTCTTCAAAACATGTTAAGCTAAATGAAGGATTGCGATGAATCATGTATCATGAAGTTTTTATTCTTTTGGCATTCAATCACGTTTTCAATTATTGAATGGTTTTCACGGAATTATTTTCTTTACAATTATGTGCACAATGATTGTATGAATATTGTGGCTTATTTTATCTTTGAAAGATGGAAATAAGTTAGACATAGTGTTAATCATCATAGAGTCCAATAGAAGGATAGAAATATATCGTTATACTTTACATGATTTTTAAATATTCATAAATTTTTAATGAATTCTTGATTCTTGTATGTTCACGTTCTTCATAAAAATATAGTTATGTCACATGTGAGAATATATTTAATTTTACTCGAGAGAGATTATTAAACAATTTGGAAATATTGATCCTCATAATTGAATCGTACTGTTAAATTATAAGGTAAGAGTTAAAGGGAATTGATACAGGGGAATTCGGGATCCTAGTACGCTTTTCATCATCATATTCTCATAACACTTGTATTAATTACAACTTTGCATTAATTTTAGTTAAGTTAGGTCTTGCATTAATAAGTCGACTATTTGATTATAATTTAGTTTTATAAAAATCATCAATTTTAATGAAGGATTATGTGTCAACATCTATACTCTCAAGTCGCTTTTGTAACTCAGTGACATAGTTGCAAGTATCACATACGTTGCAGTTCTATTATCATCACTGCGTTTATTATAATAGCCACCTCTTCTTTAATCGAGTTATCACCAGGTGTCTTTGGAAAGGGCTACTCAAGGACGTGACCAATTTTCTCATGCATAAGAACAATTCTCAGATTGCAGTGTCAATTAAGAAAATATAGTTTGGTTGTTGGCATCTAGTATGCCATTCAAAACATATGGTTACTCAGATTCAATATAAATGTAAATGACGAAAAAAAAAGAATAAAATAAATAAAATGCATTAATTAATTTAACATGGACTTTTATTATGAACCACCGAACCAGAAGCCAAATGAAGCAATCCAAAAGCTAGATCCAAAAAGCCAGCCATCAGCCATTTGTCATCTTCGGTTTAAGGCACCCCACTAGTAAAGTTGCATTTCAATACACGTTTTTAGGCATATTTTGGAGCACACTTACACATGCACCACACTTTACAGATACAAGTAAATCATTTTGAGTTTTGAGTTTTCATCAATCTGAGGGATCTCGCCCATGGATTTGCTGCAATTGTACAAGAAAATATGAGTGCAAGTGCCACCGCAAAAAATTCATCAAGAACAAAACATGTAGAAAGGTAGACACATCTTGAGTAAGCAGCTTGATTGAGAAGAATGTATTTTTACATTATGTTCATTTATTTCGTCTCTACCATCTTTGTAATTTGTTAGATGTCACCTTCGACAGATTTAATTGTACTAGGAACAACGCTAATTAATAAAAAAAACATAATAAATACTTGTACTTCTACTTTATGTTCATTTATTTCTCTACCACCTTTGAATTAGTTATGTCACATTAGACATAAATGTGTTGCACTAGACGCAACTCTATTTAGTACAAAAATAAAGACAGCACCTAAGTCATAAGCTGAGCTTATTTGTTCTAGAATTTAAAAATTATGTGGCATGATGCCTGCTATCCTCATTTATTTTCCATTTCGATTTCTATACAACTAGTTGTTAGTTCCAGTGCTGCTCATTTTCATCAGGAACCGATTCTCATTACAATAATATACAGGAAAAATTTAACGAAACTTGTATCGACGTTGACGTGGCAAAATGTGATTGAACTATTTTTCTTTTTTTTTTCATCTTCCAATGATGTCATGCCATGTGTTGTCCGTAACATTTTCTGTAAAAAAAAGGCCATGCAGTGGGCTTCTTCGGCGAAGGACACATAGCTGTACTACTGAACACCTCTTACAAGAAACAAAAGAAAATGTTGTCTTATCTGCATGTCTTCCACCATTCCATCATTTCAACAACGTGTCTGATTAGAACTTCATATTACTCTATCAATCACTCCAGCTACCGAAACCATCTTGCGATGGCACTATATGCCTATTCTTCCTCTATAATCAGCACTGGTTTCGCATTTTCCAGTGATAATAATGATTACAGAAAAGGGGTTAAGTTTCTTATTGATACTGAACCTGACATGAAGAAGCTGCCTTCAGAATTTGCTCTTCCCTTGCTGAGAAATCCATTATCTGTTGTTCATGCTGAAATACCTGTCATAGACTTGAGTGGACTTGATGGACCTGTTCAACGTCGAGTTTCAACAATTCGAGACATCAGCTCTGCCTGTGCTGACTGGGGATTCTTCAGGGTGAGTAATGAATAAGTTTCCAATTTTTTGTTGGTCAAAATTGGAAATAGTGGTAAACAATTTCTCTTGCGATGGCACTATATGCCTCTTCTTCCTCTATAATCAGCACTGGTTTCGCATTTTCCAGTGATAATAATGATTACAGAAAAGGGGTTAAGTTTCTTATTGATACTGAACCTGACATGAAGAAGCTGCCTTCAGAATTTGCTCTTCCCTTGCTGAGAAATCCATTATCTGTTGTTCATGCTGAAATACCTGTCATAGACTTGAGTGGACTTGATGGACCTGTTCAACGTCGAGTTTCAACAATTCGAGACATCAGCTCTGCCTGTGCTGACTGGGGATTCTTCAGGGTGAGTAATGAATAAGTTTCCAATTTTTTGTTGGTCAAAATTGGAAATAGTGGTAAACAATTTCATTAGCTAATTACTTGAGGATGTATTTAAGTTCACATATAATTCTGTTGCACACCCTCCATTTCATATATTTGGGAAACTTGATTTGTTCTTTATGCACACTATTAATTTTGATTTTCAATAGATCATCAATCATGGGATTCGGATGGCTCTAATGGTTGAAATGCTAGAAGTTGTCGAGGAATTCTTTGATCTGAGTTGGGAAGAGAAAATGAAATATGCTTCTGACAATGTCATGAGTCCCATAAGATATGGAACGAGCTTGAACACAACAATGAAGCATCCCCTTCACTGGAGGGACTATTTCAGACATTATGGTCATCCATGTCACAAAACCTTCCACCTCTGGCCAGATAATCCCCCTGTCTACAGGTAAGTATCGATATACACGTATAAATTGATCCATGTCAACCGCCATTAATTATCAAAGTTGAGAAAGGGAATACGATCCTTGTCGGTTCATTTTACAGTAATTAAAGGGAAATATTGCCTACTATCAAGAATATCTGATTGTTCCAATGATAACTTCGTATGAAATAAGTTTGCTTCTTTTGATTCCTATTGAAGCTAAGTTTTCTCACGGAAGCAACATTTTTAAATTTGAGCACCGAGTACAAATTGTTGATTTTTTTAGTTAATAATATTCCTAGCAAAAGATATTGTGCTTCAAACTTGATTCTAGCTAGGACTGATGAGCTGAATTCGATGAGAAGGGATGTACCGAAAGAATACTTGGAGCAGATTTGGCAGTTGGCCATGAAGATAGCAAGTGCAATATCTGAAGGTTTAGGCTGGATCATGACTACAAAGAAAAATCACTTGGTGAAGGGTTTCAAGTTCATGCTGCTAATTATTATCCACCATGCCCAGAGCCAGAGAAGACATTAGGACTTGCAGCTCATTCAGATCATGGAGGACTCACAATTTTGATGCAAAATCATGATGTTGATGGGTTGCAAATCAAACACAATGAAACATGGACTGCTGTTCAACATGTCCCTGGCACTTTTCTTGTCAATGTTGGAGATTATTTGGAGGTTAACATCTTTCTACTCAACTCATAATTACTGCATAAATTCATAGAACTCTTAAGAAAATATTTTACATGGTAAAATATATAATTATTAATAGCTAGGGTGCAGTTCTAATTTCTCATTGCATATATTGTAGATATTGAGCAATGGAAGGTACAAGAGCGTGGAGCATCGAGCAGTGGTAAACACTCAAAAGAAGAGAATTTCAGTAGCTGTAGGAAATGGACCTGAGTTGAAGGCTGTAATTGCACCTGCAAGCCAGATGTTGGACAAAAAGAGTGATATCCAATATCGGCCCATTGCCTACCAAGACTACATAAGGCTTCAACAGAGTAGCACAATTAGAGGGAAGAGCCCATTGCAAGCCATAAAGATCAACAACATCTAGCAGACACAGCTTCTTGCCTAAATAAATTTGACACCTGTTTGGTGCCTAAAATATGGTCAAGATCAACTTGGTAGTGTGTATTATGAACAACGTGGCAATTTTTAGTGTTATCTACATGTTTCTTCCAGCTAGTAGATACCCGAAGTGTCATTGGTGCAAATAAATTATGAAACCAAGAATTTAAAATGAAAAACGAAACACGGACTTTTATTTCAATTAAAGGAAAGCAAAGGAATTTTAATTTTCAGTCGATGAGTTAATATGGAACCCGGACTGTCTCCAAGGAACCAATTAACAATGGGAAAACAGGGCTTGGAATCTCTCCAAGGCACCCTTTCTTGGAATCTCTCCAAGGAACCACAAGGTTCTACCAACAAAACAACTTAAAATTACAGACTCCTCTACCGGCTATTTATTCTTGAACATCTAGGAAATAGATAACTACTAAATTAATAAATCTAGGAAAGCTAACAATAAAATAAAACAACTAGATAATAACAAAGCAAAACTAATCAAATCCAATTATCCCCATAAAGTATCCTCAACACGGCAGATTGATCAGATTGAATTAATTAGTTCCAAATTAATTAGGCCTCCTCCCATTGGTTGACACAAGCTGATCCCACTCATTTTGTCTCCCATTTCCAGCATGAATTTTGATGGCCCAGATTTATTGTTTGCCTCAGGTTGGTCCAGCTTGCTTCAGTAACTATTTGCATCAATTTCCGCCCTCCCTAAAACACTTGACTCCGGCAAGTGTTGGGCCACATCCGCATCAAACAAATCAGCATTAAAACGATGGAGCTCTTCAGCTTGTAACCAAACTAATTCAGAACGGGGGCGATGCGTCCAATGTATGAGAAATTTATGAGTGGTGGTGCATGGTGTTTTGGCTTGCATTTGGGCGAGGTTTGAATTGTGAGATGTTAACATGGTGGTGTTTTGCTCTGATACCAAAATGGTGCAAATAAATTATGAAACACAAATTTTAAATGAAGCAACAGATTTTTTTTGAAGCAAAGAATTTATTGTAGTTGATGGAATGAATAACGGAAATGAACCACCAGTTTCTGTCAACCAAACAAAACTGAACGTAGAAGACTTTATTGCTGGAACAAGAAACAAACTGATAATGGAAGAAAGTAAAAAACTGAAATGGAAGAATATAAAAACTGAAATGGCAGATGTGGGACTCTCTCCCTGAAGCAACACGCTTCTAAGAAAACCAACCTGCCTAAGGACTCATTTTACCTCCTATTTATTCTTGGATATCTTGGCAACAGAAAGCATAAATCTATTAAAGATAATAACAAAGTAAAACAAAAAGATAATAACAAAACAAAAACATATTCAAATAAAATTATCCCCAAAGTGTCGGCCACAGGTTCCAGCAGAAAATTCCAGCAGCTCAGTCTTGTCTCCTCTTCCAGTATTTTCATCTAGCACGGCTCTTCTTCCAGCACACTTACATGGAATATTTGCATCAATTTCCGCCCTCCCTAAAGCGCTTGACTCCGGCAAGTGATGGGTCACATACGTGTCAAGCAGTTCAGGCGGGGGAAGGAGGCCATCCATTGTTCTAGCAAATGGTCGAGCAGCAAGGAGAGAAAATTCTTCTCGGGGCTTCTGACCTTGAATAGCTGCAAAATCTTCTATTTTTAAAGGGTTTAACACCACCTTCTTTCCTTTGAACAAAAATGAATACGAATTCTTGTAACAATCATACGTAGCCCGTTTATCAAACATCCATGGTCGCCCCAAGAGTATATGGCACACTGTCATCGGGATAACATCACACCAGGCCTTGTCAGAATATGTCTTGCCCAACGAGAATGTAATTAAGCATCGAACAGTAACGGGAACAGAAGAACTCTCATTGACCCAATTAATCCGATATGGTGTTGGATGCTTCACTAACTTCAACCCCAAGCGCTCCACCACTTTGTCAGAAACAACATTCATCCCACTGCCATTGTCTATAATAACATTCAATGCCTTGCCATCATGCTCAAATCGAGTGTGAAAAATATTAGTGTGGCGCCAATCAGTCTCCATAGCTTCTTCTTGCTTATTACCAGTTAACACCCGGTGTATGACACAACTAGGTAATGTCGTTGCATCCAAATGTTCTTCCCCTTCATCATCTGTTGCATCCTTGACAACTACTTCTTCCGTACCCCCGTCAGATTCAACTACTAATAAATCTTTTTCGCAAACATAGGCTAATTTCTTATCGCGCGTAGGACTTACTACAGCATAATGCCCAAACTCCTTACATTAAAAACATTGCGGTCCACTGCCTCCCCAAGAGGTCTTGCCCCTCACATCTCCACCGTTGGAATAAACATTACCAGTTTCTGTTGGTGACCGACCATTGCCAGCAAATGTACGAGTAGAAGTGGAATCTGTTGCCATGACAAGTCGCCCACTGGATTGACCATTGCGGCGTTCTAAACGTAGAGCCATTTGATATGTTTCCTCAACATTAATTAAACGGGTTGTCAACATTTCTTTCTGCAATTCACTACGCAACCCCAAACGATAACGAGACAATGTCTGTTGTTCATGCTCAACAATACGACTTCGAACACTAAGCTCATGGAATCGCTCAGTATACTCCGCCACCGTCAAGGTACCTTGCCGAAAATGCCACATATCCTCATACATAATCTGCTCATACTCTAAGGGCAAGTACTTGTCTCGCAACCTCTCCTTCATCTCGTCCCAATGTTGAATTGGAGAACGGTGAGTGCGCCTTAGTTGCTCTTCCACACTATTCCACCAAGCCCTCGCATGCCCCTTCAATTTGATTCGAACATAACAACCTTACAATCTTCGGGAATGTCAAACCAATCAAAATAATCCTCAATGGCTATCAGCCAGTCTTCAAAAGCCTCAAGGTCAAATTTGCCATAAAAATCTGGGATCTCCAACTTCATACGTCTAGGATCATCAAGCTCATGGCGCTGAGCCCCTCGCCTTGGAACATGGTGTTCTCGCTGGTCACAATGACGGCAGCCGGATCCATGATCCAGGGCTTCATCAAGGTGATTCCCATCTGTCTCACTTGCCTCTGGAGGTGCATCACGATCGGGAGATCGTACACGACGATGGGGTGGTTGATAGACATCACGGTGGACACGACTTTTTAGCACAGTAAGGCGTTGGGTGAGGTTCTCCAAGAGGCTGATAATATGTGCAGTGTCATTGGGATGGGGCTGAAGATTATGTTCCTGGGAGTCTTGGTTATGGTTTATGTGGTTTGGTTGGAACCCGGACTCTCTCCAAGGAACCAATTAACAATGGGAAAACGGGGCTTGGAATCTCTCCAAGGCACCCTTTCTTGGAATCTCTCCAAGGAACCACAAGGTTCTACCAACAAAACAATTTAAAATTATAGACTCCTCTACCGGCTATTTATTCTTGAACATCTAGGAAATAGATAACTGCTAAATTAATAAATCTAGGAAAGCTAACAATAAAATAAAACAACTAGATAATAACAAAGCAAAACTAATCAAATCAAATTATCCCCATAAAGTATCCTCAGCACGGCAGATTGATCAGATTGAATTAATTAGTTCCAAATTAATTAGGCCTCCTCCCATTGGTTGACACAAGCTGATCCCACTCATTTTGTCTCCCATTTCCAGCATGAATTTTGATGGCCCAGATTTATTGTTTGCCTCAGGTTGGTCCAGCTTGCTTCGGTAACTATTTGCATCAGTCATATACTAAATTTCATATTCCTTGTAACTCTTAAGCTTTTCGAATTTCTACACAAATCGAATTTTATTAGTAACCAATTGTCGTGCCTCAAAAATCAAATGGATCAATGAGAGTGTGAAGGGAAGACGTGATTGATGTTTGAGATTCGAGCATTGAAAGAACTCAAAAGATCGTATATTAGTTGTTTCCTATGGACAAATAGCTTGTATTATTTATGCATGAGGTGTTTAGAAATATAAACACAAAGAGGGTTTCCATAGACTATATGCCCTCAAATTATGATAACTTGAAACAAGAATCCTGAAAATAACTAAAATTTTATGAATGTAAACCAGGATAAAACAATTTAGAAAAGGAGTCAAATGTGCTGTCATTGGCAACTTTAAAAATATGTCCGAATCTGATTTAGCACAGGACATTGAAACACTGCTATAAGTAGCACAAAGTATGTTGAAGATGTTATAGAAAATTTTGGAAAATGCAGTACGTCACCTTTGAGATTTCGTTTGTTTTACTAAAATGGACCACTGTTTTATGTGTCATGCAAGTTCAATATGTTAAGCAGTTAACCTATTAGAAAAATACTTTGAGATTTTATGTGGTGAAATTCCTTATTAAAATGGGCCGGGTTATGATCAACCCACATGACCTCTGTGCCCATTTTCCAACACGTGATTTGCGAAAAAACTGTGCCATTTATATATCCAACATTTTTGACAGTACAATTGATAACAATAGATCAACCAGATCAATATTTAATTAGTTCATGATCAACGGGAGGAAGATACATAAAACTAACTGGATTCCACTTATAAAATCAATGAAGAAAATACATTGAGTAAATAAGTCTTATTATCAGTCAACAATAATAATCAATTTTCACAAAAAAAAAAAGAAAAGAAAAAAAAAAAGAAGTGTTCCATTTTCGAAAGGCTTTCACCGCGCTGCTAAATCCCAAAGATGAAATCTGAGGAATAAAATTTCTCTCTCGTTATTGCATCAATGCGCTCGATTATCTCGGTCTTTAGATAATTTTTATGATCCCCGATCGACCACCCCTCTTCTAAAGGAGGAATAATATGGCACTTGAAACCAAGATGTAAAATCCTCAGACTTATTCACTTCATGGTTACTTAGTACATCGAAACTACAACTCATAACAATGTCCAGGTCCACCACAGCAATACGAATCCATAAAACCGAAGAAAGGGGAAACGACCATATAATTCACAGTTCAGTGCTTGCCCGCCGGAATCATTTTTTCGTTCAAAGCATAAGGTCAGAATTACTTAATTAGTTGTTTTCTCAATGAATTTTCCTTTTTATAATTCCAATCCTATATATTCTTCATTTGACTTCTTTATCACTATTGAAAGTTAAGCGATTTCGCCTCATTTGAATCTGCACATACAGCAAAAATATTAGTATTTTTTTTCCCTGAATTCGCCGGTCATATGATAAAGGGATATTGTTTTTTAGGGTTTGTCCTTATCTTTCAGTGAATGGAATAATGGGGCTTTGAAGTAGGAGTTTAATGATGTTAAAAAGATTGAATTTTAGAATTCAATTCTGGAAGGCATAAAAGCTAGGGTTTGGGTAGCATTTCAAAGAACAAAAATTCTTTAATAATTTTGCACTGGAACATGAAAAAGGAAAATTTTTTCCTAGAAAATGCTTTTCAAGAAATGAGTATAGTTTTAATTTGTATTCTTCTTGGGGAAAACTTGAATGCAGGGAAAGCGAAGAGTGAACAGGTTGAGTTGAAATAATATCAAAGCATATTTTTTACAGTCTATTTGATGCATTTAATTTGAGTCAAAGTCAAATCATAAGTTTTTTTTTTTTTAAATAAAGTTCCTTATAAATATAAATAGCATACTGTTGTCACTGCTCTAGTAATCTAGCAATAAAATAAGCGAAGAGTGAGTGAACTTGTTTATTACTTTTTTTTTTTTTTTTACAAGTAATGTTTCCAGCTTTGATCCAGTAAAAAATTACTTATTTTAAAGCTTACTTGAGCTTAGCATAACATGCTGAAATCACTACAAGAAAATTTTTAATCTGGCCACTTCATGAAATTAAGAACAAAGCTAAATAGTTTAGGGAAGTGTTACATGTACATAATAATCTACATAATGATGTTCATAATTATACGTGACACTAGATCCAACCTTTAATTCAAATTTCGCACTTTTATATCAACAATCGGATGATTGCCACATCACATTATGTACACCATTATGTGTAATAATTATGTATAAGTAGAATTTTCCAGTAGTTTAACATCTCTTTTGTTTTATTGTCTACATTTACACCGTTTGTCATTGAACTTGGGACTTTTTTATAGTTTTATGCAAGAAGATGGTAGGTTGACTTGCATCCAAGTTATTAGATTAGCACTCTGATGGGTTAATTACCCCAAAAGTCACTGAACTTTAACAAATACTGCCTGAGAAGTCACTAAACTTCAAAATTTTTCTGGGAAGTCACTGAACTTTGCCTAATGCTACCTGGAAGGTCATTAAACTTTAAAAGCTTCTTGATAGGTCACTGAACTTTGCAAAAATTTCCTAAGTGGTCACTCAACTCAGTGATGTATGGGGTTACTTTTGCAAAGTTCAGTGACCTCCCAAGAAGTTTTTGCAAAGTTCAGTGACATATCAGGAAGCTTTTGAAGTTCAGTGACCTCTTAGGTAGCATTTGGCAAAGTTCAGTGACATCTCAGGAAGCTTTTGAAGTTCAATGACCTCCTAGGTGGCATTTGGCAAAGTTCAGTGATTATTGGGGTAATTAACCCGCACTCTGATATCTCCTTATCCTTTAACGAATTTTGCAAAGATAATTTCATGAAGCTTTGCTGTTAAAAAGAATCGATGGTTAATATGGCTGATGAGAGAGATCTAATTGAAATATTGGAAGAGAATAATCCTATTGACATCATCAAATACATCAGTTATGTTCATTCACCACAATGCTGTGCCATAGCAACTTTTTCCGGCACAACTCGTGACACCTTTGAAGGCAAAACAGTCTTAGAGCTAAGATATGAAGCATACGTTCCAATGGCCGTACGCTGCATAAATCCATTTGTACTTCTGCAAGATCATCGTAGAATCTCAATTCAATTGCTGTTGCTCATCGCTTAGGCCCAGTTCCCGTCGGTGATATAAGTGTGTTCATTGCAGTGTCTTCTGTTCACCGGGGCAGATGGATTGGATGCTTGTAAATTTATTATAGATGAGGTGAAGGCTTCAATTCAAATATGGAAGATGGAAATCTATACTAATGGAGAGGTCTGGAAGGAGAACTCTGAATTTCTGGAGAGGAGGGTAGAACTTGGGGTTCAGGACCGAACCCAAGGATGTTGTGGGAGGAAAGTTAAACTAGAAAAAGCACCGAATACCGAGAATTGCTGCAGGGTGAATGATACGAACCCGATCAGCTAGGTTGAAATCAAACCCACAAAATATTGAATCGAACCCAGGAAAGTTCCAAACAACAAATATTTGTGGAATTTGACTCAAAGTAATGGATTAAACAATCCACACAGCTAATATGACATGTAGACCTTTTAATCACAAAATTAATAAATCAAAAATCCCGAATAGTTTAAAGCTTGACCCGAAAATTAAATGAATCAAGAAACCAAAGCAATTACAAGAATACCTTGACTCCGTGATTACACAATTTATGAATCTCACTTTGATTGGTGAACACCACGAAAAATCATCCCGATAAGTTCGATAAGTATTGAAGCCAGAAGCCTCCAGAGAAAATCTCCATTCATTCAAATATCAAAAGTTTTCTACAATAATGAAATAAGGAACCATTTATAATAACCCTAAATTAAATAATTAAAAGGGATTAAACTATTAAAACCTATTTTAAACGGAAACAAATAAAAAAATATTGGAATGTTAAAGTGACGTGAAAGCTTGGGATTATATTCCAAACAAAGAAACTGCCAAATATCCCAAGAAATAGAATTCTTTCAGCTTTGGTAACTAGCCGACATTCTGGACAATTCTGCTCCATTCTGCCTTATGAGTGTAAATATACCATGTAGCAACAAGAGTCGACTTTGTTGACTGAAAATTTTAATTCCAGCATCCTCAATTTCTTTTTTTTTTTTTTATCGGTAAAAGTGAATTATATTGATCAACAACATATACAAATACACTGGGCATTCCCAGGAAAATCAAAATCAAGTCAAATGCCTATACAACACTGAGCATTTCCAGTAAAACAAAAAGAAAGTGATAAAGTCCAACAAAACAATCTAAAGACCCATAGCCAAACTGCCAAAGTCTCATATTGGATCAAAACATCCGAATATAAAGAAAACATGACTTTGTACACGTGTGTTTTGGTCTGACTTACAATGCTATCAATCTGCGGTATAAGGTTATAAAAAATATTCCTATTTCTTGCCATCCAAACGTGGTAAACTGTAGAAGAAAATGCAATGCGCTTCAACTTGTTGTGCCAAGATTTTCCTTTACTTTCCTTCTTAATCCATTTGAGAGCGCTAGGAAGTGTGGACATTAACCTTCGAATCCCAACCCATGCACAGATTATGTGCCAAACTGATTTGGTAAATGGACAATTGAAGAACAAGTGGCAAGCAGTTTCTTCCATTCGTTCACAAAAACAGCAATTGTGATCAATCTGAAGATAATGTAATCTGTCCTTCGTAAGTAGTTTTGACTTGGTTGCCAACCACAAGATAAAAACACGCTTAGGTGTCACAAATGTGTTCCAAACTGAGCTAGCCCATATTAACTTAGTTCCCCTTGGCCGAAAGAAATCATATGCAGCTGAATTGCAAAATCTGCCGCCATAACTCCAGTTGGACAGCTTATGAACAGCTGCATCATGAGTGTGCTCGGTCCCCAAAATTTTATCGCTGATGTCCAGCAATTTTTTGAAAAGAGGAGAGTCATCTTTCCTCATTGTATACATCCATATGTCATTCCCCCGAAGGTACACTTGATTTATCCGTTTAATCCACAAAGTATCCTTCTTACAATAAATATTCCAAAGTGTTTTGGCCAATAAAGTAGCATTCCAAGTTTTAATGTCCCTAAGACCAAGTCCCCCTTCTTCCTTAGGAAGGCAAATATCACTCCAAGCCACCAATGTTTCTTAGATCTCCAAAGAAAATTCCGACAAAGAGAAATAACTCTAGAAGCAACCTTGGCAGGGATAGGAAAAAAAGATAACCAAAAACACTCAACCCCTTGAAGTACGGCTCTCACAAGCTCCATTCTTGCAGCATAAGATAAAGATGCCTTTGACCAAGCCACAATACAAGATGAAATTTTGTTTAAAAGAACATCATAGCTACTGATTTTTAGTTTCGCCGCCGCAAGAGGAATGCCGAAGTAGTGAAAAGGCATATAACCTTCTTGGATGCAAGCAATTTCAAGAATTTCCTCCTTGTCTTGCGGAATGACCCCCGCCATGTATAAGTTAGACTTATCAACATTCATCATTAACCCCGACATGTTGCCAAAGTTGGTTAAGCAATACATCAAAATACTAACCGAAGTTGCATCACCTCTTGAAAAAAGCATTAAATCATCCGTAAAAGCCAAGTGCATAATCTTTAATTGAGCACATTTAGGATGGTAATTGAAATCACTATTGTCCGTTACTTCCTTTAACATCCTAGAAAAATATTCAAGGCAAATGACAAAAAGAAAAGGAGAGAGGGGATCACCTTGTCGGAGACCTTTCTTTCCTTTAAAAAAACCATGAAGACCACCATTAAGAGCAATGGAGTATGAAGGCGATGTAACACATTCCATAATCCATGCAATAAAAATATATGGAAACTTCAATCTCTCAAGCACCTTCTTAAGAAAATCCCATTTCACCGAATCGTAAGCCTTCTTTAGATCAATTTTTAAAAGGCATCTTGGGGATACCCGCTTCCGATTGTATTGCCTCATAAGCTCTTGTGCAAGATGAACATTCTCTATCAAGCTTCTATCCTTTACAAAAGTGGCTTGTGCTTTATCAATAATAGTTTCAAGAGTTAATCCCAACCGAGAGGCAAGTATCTTAGATATCACTTTGTAAAAGACATTGCAACAAGCAATTGGCCTATAATCACCCACCGCATTAGCGTGTGTAGACTTAGGCACCAAGGCAATGACAGTATGGTTGATTTGTTTAAGAAGGGAACCCGTAGCAAAGAATTCTTCAATAGCTCCCATGAAGTCATCTCCAACAAAATTCCAAGATTCTTTAAAGAAACACGATGTATAGCCATCCGGTCTCGGCGACTTATCATCACCAATGCTAAATAAAGCCTCCTTTATCTCATGCCTAGAAATCTCCTTGGTGAGGAAAGTGGCCTGTTCATCAGATAAATAAGGCCCACAATTCAAAAAATCTACTTGAAATGGTGCCCCAATTCTGTCTTTACCAAGTAACTCACTATACACATGAATAAATTCATCTGCTACCTCATTTTGTGAAGATGTATAAGAACCATCACTTTTAAGAACAGCCGCAATAAAGTTTCTTTTCATGTTTCTCTTAACCATGGAGTGAAAAAACTTGGTGCATTTATCACTATCCTTCAAGTATGCACATTTAGCTTGTTGGAAGTAAAAACTCCTCTCCGCTTCACAAAGGTTCATAGCATCTTTCCTCAATCACACAACCTGATTTTGCAAATGGGGGTTAGAAGGATCATCATGTAAAGCCAACTAGAAATTCTCCAAGGCTTTAGTAGCCACCTCGACCCTAGAAGAAATGTGAGCAAAATGTTTAACATTAAGCTCCTTAAGCACACCTTTAAGCCTTTGCAATTTTTTACAAAGGGAGAACTCGTTAGTGCCACGTATCTCAACATTCCAATTTCTAAGCACGAGATCATGGAAATTCTCATGCTTAGTCCACATATTAAGAAATCTAAAAGGTTTCTTAAATCTACCATCACGAGCAAACGTAGAAACAATACAAGGAAAGTAATCCGAGAGGCATCCCGAAGGTAAGAATTTCGCAAAGCTAGAAAATCTCATCTGCATCCAAACATCATTAACCATTGCTCTATCAAGTTTACTCCACTTAGAGTTATTGGACCAAGTGTAAAAACACCCGATAGATCTCATATCAGTAAGTCCAACATCAAGGGAACAATTTGCAAAATCTCTAATCTCATATGGGGTTACATCGGCTCCATTCCTTCTCTCATCAAAATGTAGAGCATTATTGAAGTCACCCATAATCAACCAAGGCATAGAACAATCCAAACCAACCTCCATGATATTGTCCTATAAGAGTCTACGACTTACAATCGTGTTAAAAGCATAGACAAAGCTAGCATGAAATTTAACAGATGTTACCTTACATGTAATAATACAATGTATGACTTCCGATGTAGTATCTATCACTTCCAAGTCTACTTTCAAAGAATTCCATAATACCAAGATTCGTCCAGCTTGGTGAGATAAAAAAATTGTTGATTTGCAATAGGTTGCCAAATTTATTCTGCATGACATGTTGTAACTTGGACTCCCCCAACTTAGTTTCTAGAACACCCATAGCATCAATTTGGTGTTGATTCATAAAACTACGAACCCCATTTTGTTTAAGGGGACGGTTCAATCCCCTAATATTCCAAGTAGCAATCTTCATGATGTAGAATGAAGGGAATTACCCTTCTTCTTCCAATTTGACTGCCAATCTGGTTCAGATTTCAGTGAATATATATCCCCAATTCAGCCACCAAATGTTCTCCAAAATGGCTGTGTCGTTTTGCTGTGTCTGTCAATAATTATTAAATTCAGCCACAATGTTTGACTACTAAATTGGTCTCCAATTCTCTTCCAATTTTCTGGCTTTCTATGGGTGTATATATATGTATTAAATTCAATTTGGTAGCCCACTACTTTATTAATTCCAAATCAACCCCAACGTAGCTCAAAGTTTGGTCTCGTTCTCTCGCCAACACTCGTCAAATATTTCATAATTCGAGACGCAATCGGGATCGCATCATCCCTTCTCTCTTCGAAAGGATTCGACCTCGAATCCAAATCTTTAACGCCCAGATTATAGCCCTTGTTTCCAATTAGTGCGAGCACAAGAAATGGTCCACCGCACCTAGGATGAAACTTGGACCTCTTTTGAACCCGAATCCTCCTCTTGCATATAAAAACCCAATCTCCTTCACAAAGATTGAAGTGCTCACGCCGTGACCGCTTACTTTTGCAATCTTGAAATGCTCCATGAATTACTTCAATTGATAAGCCGCTGTGCATTTTCCATGTCCTCTTTCGCCTAAGCAATTTTAGCAATGATACTTCAATTGGATGCATTTTCCCTGGAACATCAATTTTGTAGTCCAACCCCATGCATATGAACTCCTTGCTATTCAACTCCTTGCATATAAATTCCCACCAACGCCTTTGAAATTCCTTTGTCTCCTCGGAAATCACAAAGTCAATTTTCGGTATCATAGAAACACCCAGATTGAGGCATGGTTGTTGTTGAATGTCATCCACCAATTGATATCCAATTTGAGGCTCAATTCCTGGGTCGGGGTGGTATTTGAACGGAATTAATTTCTAGAATTGGGTCTTCGTTAACCTGCAAAATAGGACTATTAAAAGTAGGGAGGGAAATGTTAATTTTCTCCAAGGCCTCCTCAACTCCACTCTCCTTTTCACTTAAGCCCAATTCCAACACTTTTTTTGTTTGTTAAAGACTCTCTTCCTTTTTCCACTGATAGCGCCACTTCTATTTTAATCACTTCACCCTTTTCATTTTCACACCTGACTTTCTGTTCACTCTTTTGTGGCATTTTTCCTTTTTCCTCAAAATCAACTACCTCACTATTTTCTCTCGAACTCTCTTTTTGTGGAATATTTTTCTCACCCTTTTCCTTCAATCTCCTCTCTGCATTATTTTTTACCATGCATTGATCCTCATATGCTTGTTGCGGTGTCAACGATGCAAGCTCAATATATCTCCCATCCTTGGTAAAGCTGTAGCAATTTGTGACTCCATCGTACCTCGCCTTCCTATCACACTTCCTTGGTCTACCTAACAAAATGTGACAAGCATGTAATGGAATGACGTCACACAACATTTCATCGTGGTACCTCCCAAGTGAGAAACTTTACTTCACTTGCCTACATACCCTAACCACTCCACATTCATCCAACCGCTGCAACTTATAAGGTTTTTGATGTGCCATCGTTTTCAATCCTAATAATTCCACAACCGTATAGCTAACAAAATTAGTGAAACAATCTCCATCGATAATCAAACTATATATCTTGTCTTCAACATGGCATCTAGTTTGAAAGATCCTTCCCCATGATAGCTCCACATTATCCAATTTGATTGGTGTATTGATAATACGCTTTGCCACGCGATTTATATAACGTGATTTTTAAACCGCAAGTGTACGGTGTCAAGTTTTGTAATATAGTTTTAAAGTTAGGATGTCGAACCCACAGGAATTGATATTCGAATCAATTAAGTACTATAATTATTTTAGCTCTCACTTTATTTAGACAATCAACTTTTGAATTAATGTTTCTATGCTAAATTAAATTAAATGGGATGAACGATGCAAGTAAACGAGGATAAGTTGTAGAGTTTCTTATCAAATTATGATCTATGAATACCCAGGGAATGATTTCACCATACTTTCGACAATGTTTTTCAACCGTATAACTATTTCTATCGATCTTTCCAAAATTTATAAGCAAGAACGCTAAAGTGATTCTATTTCCCTCTCTCGAGCGCCAAATAGAACCTATTTCTATATTTTAACTCCAATATCTCTATTCCGAATTAAAACATAAAAATTATCAAGCACGTGGTTCTTAATTAAAACAAGTCTCAAAGATTCGCACCTTCTCTCGAAATCTACGAAATCTAGGTTATATTGTCTAAGATCACGCCTAAATTTGCCTCTCTCGAGCGCCGAAATTTAGAACATCAATTCAATCAATTAGTGACCAGTTAATTAAAAGCATTGCGCACAACAACATAAATAAATAAAAAGGAAAGATCAATTGAAATAATTAAATGGAATTCAAACATGTCTAAAGTAGGCTACATCAACCCTAGGCTTAAAACCATTTAGTTCATAATTGAAGAAACTGGCACAAATAAATTATAAAGAAAGAACGTGGAAAAGAATAAAGAACATAAAAAACTTGATAATTGCAGCTTGATTTCTTCCCCAAAATTAATTCTTTTCAGATTTCTTCTTCAAGTCTTGTAATTGGCCGACTACTCCTCTTCAATTCCTCTCCAGATTCTGTGTATTGGCCGGCTCTTCTCCCAGATTTTTCTTGCTTGTTTCCCCTCTTTATGTGGCTGGTTTCCAAAGATTTTTCAATGTGTGGCTCCCCTCAATTTGGCCACCTGAAATCCCTCTAATTCCCCCTTGAAGTTGTCGGCCAAATTCTCTATTTTCTCTCCAATTCGGCTATTCTTTGTGGTTGATTCCACAGACGTGTATTGTGCGGCTCCCCCTTTCTTTAGGTCTTGTAAGTGGTATTTATAATTCCTTGGAGTTGCCCTTCGAATTGGTAGTGGAATGGGCCAAGAAAATACTAAAAAAAACTGGGCTTTACCCTTCTCGGTTGGCAGTGCCTGGGCACTGCATATGTAGTGCCTAGGCGCCCACTTACTGCTCCCTTTCTACTTGTACAGCGCCTGGGCATTTCTTTTGTGGCGCCTGGGCGCCAGGTTTCTGCTTCTTCTTGCTGGTTCGGTAAGTTCTTCACTTGGCTCTCTTTCCTTTAGCCTCGTTTCTTTATGTCTTTGTCACTTGTTTTCACCACTTTGATTCCCTAGCACAAAACATTAAAATCTTATGTTAAAACATTCATAACTCAATAAGTTTAGCTAAATAACAAGCTTAAATTACATTAATTTAATGAGTGAAGTATCACTCATCACGCTTCAACACACTTGTTTTTCCCATGGCCGGGTTATCAAGTTCATCAACAATATTTCTACTCCGCTTTTCAATCATATCCATCCTATCTCCCAAATCCACCATCATCTTCTCAAATCGTCGCATCATCTTTTCCAACATTTTAACTCTCAATTTATTTTCTGTCTCACAAATTCACTCGGAATCACACAAATTATAGGCTTTTTCCCTCTAATAAGCTCACAACTCTGCCTTTTACCGCTCGAACTTCCTCCAAAGTGCTTCAAGAACAATCAAAAACTCAACCAAGAATTATTCTCGTAGAATTCAAACCAAGTGAGATTTTATGACTTTAAAGACTCTAGATAATTTTGAATTTGGACTCAAAGAATGATCGAAAGAATTTTGAAATAATTTTTTTTTTAAACAGTGAACAGTAACTCTGAACAGTAAAAAAAATTAAAAATTTTTGGATGAACAGTAACCCCGAAATAGCAAAAGATGCAATCGAACCCACAAAATATTGAATCGAACCCAAGAAAGTTCCAAACAACAAAGGTTTGCGGAATTTGACTCAAAGTACTGGATTAAACAACCCACACAACCAATATGACATGTAGACCTTTTAATCACAAAATTAATAAATCAAAATCCCGGATAGTTTAAAGCTTGACCCGAAAATTAAATGAATCAAGAAACCAAAGCAATTACAAGAATACCTTGATCCCGTGATTACACAATTTATGAATCTCACTCTGCTTGGTGAACGTCACGAGAAATCATCCCGATAAGTTCGATAAATTTTGAAGGCAGAAGCCTCCAGAGAAGATCTCCATTCATCCAAATATCAAAAGTCTTCTACAATAATGAAATAAGGAACTATTTATAATAACCCTAAATTAAATAATTAAAAGGAATTAAACTATTAAAAACCTATTTTAAAAGGAAACAAATAATAAAATATTGGAATGTTAAAGTGACGTGAAAGCTTGGGATTATCCTACAAATATTAAAAGAGAGAACTTCGTTGCTACTGTTCATGTGACGTCACTTTGCTGTCATGCCGATGTCATTTTTTTTTTGGTGCTTGTAGACTTTAAAACGACGTCGTCAGTCTTTCCTCTTTCCTCCATTTTTACAAGTGTGGTCTGTTGGGCGCCATAATTTATTTTCTGAAAATTTTCAACCCACCTTATGTGACTCATGTGGGCTCCATCACTGCTATTCACTGAACCGTTGCAGAGAGACCCTTTGTTCAATTGAAATGTTGGACGAAATTACCCTCCTTTTTCAAGGGTAAGGGAGTAGTGGAGGGCAGGATCGTAACTCTGTGCAGGCTCATTAATTACCATTTGTGACATCATGCTGTACAATCTGAATTGTATGAGAAATGGCCCTGCAATTGTTTGAAAACTTGACAAATTATGTGTTTTAATGGAGCCAAACGTGGGCGACCTCCATTTCTTTTTTTCCTCGAGCAAAGCGTCTCTTTCTTCTCCATTTGTACACACTACCGCCCATACCTCATTACTTACTCCATTATTATTATTATTATTATTATTATTATTATTATTATTATTATTATTATTATTATTCAAGAATGCTGCTTGTACAGCATCTTCTGTACAACCTCCTTCACAGCCCCCTCACAATGAGGGGGCCCCACCTCAGTTTTTTTTAATGTATGCGGGCCCCCTCCGATGTGAGGGGGCTGTGAAAGTAAGTGTGAACCATGCTGTGAGTGTAGCACGATTCATTATTATTACTCCATTCTTTTTTTTTATCGGTAAATGTAAAATTCATAGATCAAAACGCATTTACAACTACACCGGGCATACCGGGCAATCAAAGATCAAGTACAAATACAAGTACACTAGACAATTAAAGCACAACTACTCCGGACAAACCCGGTCGAACAAAAAGGAAAGTGATGTACAAACCATAGACGCTAAAGTCCCAAAGCTAGGGACTCAAAATGAATCAAAACATGCGGGTACAAAGCAAACATAACCTTGTACACGTGTGTTTTAATTTGTCTAACAATGCTATCCACATGCGGACTTGGTTCCTCAAAAACCTTCCTATTCCTTGCCATCCAAATATGGTAAACGGTGCTCGCAAGAGCAATGCTTTTGGATTTACTTTGCCAAGATGTTCCTCGGGCCTCTTTTTTCATCCACTTCAAAGCACTCGGAATAGTAGTCATCGATCTTCTAATCCCCGTCCAAACTTTGATCTTCATCCATATGCTAGAGGCAAAAGAGCATTGGAAAAATAGATGTTGTCCCGTTTCCAAGTGTCTCTCACAAAAAACACAATTCTTATCAATGTCAAGATACGGTAATCGATACTTAGTGAGTAGCTTCGATTGGGCACCCAACCATAAGATAAAAGCATGTTTTGGAGTAATAAAAGATCTCCAAACCTCCCTCGTCCATACCTTCATGTCTCCCTTCGGTCGAAAATGCTCATAAGCGTCCCGAACTCATACTTGGCCAGTTTTAATCCAACTGGACAGCACATTTCCAACAGTTTGGCCAGCCCCCAAAATTCCAGCAATACTGTCTCTGATTTCCAGTAATCTCTTGAGCAACGGGGAATCAATTTTCCTTATTGTGTACTCCAAGAAATCCCTCCCTTGAAGGTATACTTGGTTAACCCATTTAACCCATAAGGTGTCCTTCTTAGCATGACTATTCCAAAGGACTTTGGCTAGAAGAGTTGAGTTCCAACTTTTGATATCTTTAAAACCAAGCCCACCCTCCTCCTTCGGTAAGCAAATGGTACTCCAAGCAACCAATGGTTTTTTATTACCCCAAAGAAAATTACGACAAAGCTTAATTATCCTTGAGGCTACCGTAGATGGGATAGGGAGTATAGATAGCCAAAAACACTCCACACCTTGTAGTACGGCTCTAACAAGTTCCGCCCTGCCCGCATAAGAGAGTGAAGATCTTGTCCATGCACAAATGTAAGCCGACAATTTATAAAGGAGCACATCATATGAGCTGATTTTTAATTTCACGGCGGCAAGTGGGATTCCCAAATATCGAAATGGCATAGAACCTTTAGGAATGTTGGTCAATGCCTCAACACCCTCTAAATCTTGACCGTGAATCCCCGCCGTAAACATGTTAGATTTGCTAACATTCATTCTAAGCCCCGACACATCTTCCAACTTAGAAAGACAATTCATCAAAATTCTAACCGACATAAAATCACCCCTAGCAAAGAGCATCAAGTCATCGGCAAAAGCAAGATGTGTGATCTTTAATGGGCCACATTTAGGGTGATAATTGAAATCACTGTTCTCAATATCACTTTTCAACATTCTTGAAAAATATTCAAGACAAAGTACAAACAAGAATGGAGAGAGCGGGTCACCTTGTCTAAGCCCTTTTCTACCCTTGAAAAATCCATGTAGACTACCATTGAGTGCAATAGAGTAACTAGGAGTAGAAATGCATTCCATAATCCAACCAATAAACTTAGCTGGAAAATCCAAACCTTCAAGTACGCTTTTGAGAAAATCTCAATTCACTGAATCATATGCTTTTGTTATATCAATTTTAAGAAGGCATCTTGGGGCAACTCTTTTCCGATTGTATTGTCTCAAAAGCTCGTGTGCAAGGTGAATATTTTCGATCATACTTCTTCCCTCCACAAAAGCCGCCTGTGCTTGATCAACAATGGATCCAAGTATAGGTCCCAATCTAAAAGCGATGATCTTTGTAATGACCTTGTAGAATACATTACAACATGCAATTGGCCTATAGTCGCCAACGGAGGATGAGTGATTTGTCTTAGGAACCAAAGCAATCACTGTATGATTTATTTGCTTAAGAAGGGAGGAAGAGTTGAAAAACTCTTTGATAGCCTTCTTAAACTCACATCCAACAATGCTCCATGATTTTTTAAAGAAACAAGATGTAAATCCATCCGGGCCCGACGACTTGTCATCCCCAATACTAAACAAAGCATCTTTAATCTCTTGATCTGAAATTTCACCAATAAGTGACAAAGCATGCTCTTCCGTTAGCACGGGTCCATTCTTTACAACCTCAACCTCAATAGGTTGAACAACACAGTTATTTCCCAACAAGTTCATATAGAAACACATGAATTCATCCACCACTTCCTTAAGAGAAGAAGTATAGGTCCCATCCCTTTTCAACACGGTAGCAATATAGTTCCTCTTGTTATTTCTCTTAACCACCGAATGGAAAAACTTAGTGCACTTATCACTATTTTTTAGATAAGTACACTTAGCTTTTTGATAGTAAAAACTTCTCTCCGCTTCACCAAAAATCGCAGCCTCTTTCCTTAATCTAGCCACTTCATATTGAAGATGAGTGTTTGTAGGGTTACCATGCAATTCCACTTGCACTTCTTTCAAAATTCTAGATGCGGTTTCGGCCCGAGAGGAGATATGTGAGAAGTGCTTATCATTGAAACTCCTTAGTACCCCTTTAAGATTTTGTAACTTTTTGCAAAAAGTAAATTGCTTCGTTCCCACTATCTTCATGTTCCAACAATCTTAAACAATGTCTAGAAAATCATCATGATCCGCCCACATGTTGAAAAACCTAAAAGGTTTTCCTTTGCAATCATCTTGTTGCAAAAGTGATACAACACATGGAGAGTGGTCTGAGAGACATCCCGAAGGCAAAAATTCAGCAATGCTATGAATTCCTGATTGCACCCACACGTCATTAATCATGGCTCTATCAATTTTGCTCCAAGTCTTATTGTTGTTCCACGTGTAGAAACAACCAATACACCTCATATTCGTAAGTCCAACATTAAGACAATAATCCTCGAATTCTCTAATTTCATATGGTGTAACATCCGCTCCATTACACTTTTCATCAAACTTAAGCACGTTGTTGAAATCCCCCATAATCAACCATGGTAATGAGCAATTTGTTCCAAGCTCCATAATATTATTCCAAAGAGACCTACGAGCAACAATAGTATGGAAACTGTTAGGTCTAAATGTGTTATTGGCAATTCTATGAACAAAATGGGTTTAATCGCATGTTTGTAAAAGTCAGGGACTCAATTGAACATTCTTGTAAAAGTCAAGGACTTGAGGTGCAATTTTGTATAGATGAGGTAAACTAGTGTTTGAGTCATTAAAGGAGTCCAAGATATCCAAGAAGATCACATAAGATCATCGGAATGCAATTGGAAGTCTAAAAGATATCAAAGAGCCGCATAAATTATGTTTCGGATTTTCAGTCTTCACTTGGAACACATTTTACACATAGAAACAGTTGGAATTTGGACAAGGATATTTCTAGAATAATTGTATTCCTTTGAGTTATCTGTTCAACAAAACTTGAATCACCTCAATCGGACATCAAGAGAGAAAGTTATGATAAAAATACTAACGACTACTCAGCTGTCGCTCGACTTTCGCTCGACCCTCGCTCGAGCGATAATAACAGAATGGGTCTCGCTAGAGTTTCGCTCCAACCTCGCTCGAGCGACCGTTCTACGCCGAAAAAAACCCTAGTACGCGTTTTTGAGTGTTTTACTCGGCCCATACTACCAAAACACCTTTAGATATAAATACCTAAGCCCTAACACGAATTTTGGTGTGGTTGCTCATTGTGCCTCTCTTGAAAAACATCTTCTACTCCATTCTTGAAGAGATCCAAGGCAAATCAATTGAAGATCCAAGATAATATTCTTCTTCTACATCTTCTTCAAGAGATCCAAGACAATATTGATTGAAGATTTTATCTATCCAATTCTTGTGAGCCGACAACCATTTCTTGGGAAAACATCAAACATTCTTGAAGACAAACACCTGGCTTCCTCAACTGATTGAAGGAAGGAACTCTCTTTGGTGGATTGAGAGAGTGGTGCAAGGTGCAGTTACAAGCACAAGAACAGGAGGTTCTTGGCGTTCCACTTGTAAGGATATTCAGTACAAGATCAGAAGACTGTAGGAGACAGCAGATTGGACTGCAGGAGGTGGACTTAGGAGTCTAGCAGGAGTCTAGAGAGTCTACGCAGTAGATCGTCAGGCTGTGACAGTGGATCTTGATGGGTTCTTTGATTGGCGAATCATTGTAATCTTTGAAGTATCGTTAGTGGAGGTAACTGGCTTGTGCTCGGAGTTTTTCCCGTGTTGGGTTTCTCCATCAACAATTCTTGTGTTGATTTTGTTTTTACTACTTTCAATAATTTAGAATAATATGCGGTAATTCAACATAGGATTAAATTGGATTGTATGTCTAATCATCTAGATAACTAACAAAAGTGACTTGTTGCTTTAGTTAGATTAATTCCGCACGTAAGATCGAATTGGTAATTGATCTCAGATGTGTCGATATCAATGGTGACTCATTATTTCGATGAATCATTTCTTCGGACAGAAGAAGACTATGTAAACACTTACTCGAAATCTCACTTATCAGATTCCATTGTGGAAGACACAATTTTTTCTGAAGAATTCGCAATGATATACCTGATCCATGCATAATATCATGAAAAATGGATACAAATTTTTGTAAAGCGTTCCAGTGAACTTTCTAAGTGTAGTAGCGCGTTCCTAGAACTTTCAAGTGGTATCAGAGCCTAAATTCGAATCCTGATCTTACTTAGTCTAGATGAGTATGTCTTTGAATATACCGCCTTATTTTGATGGTAGTAACTTTGCCTATTGGAAAGTGAGAATGAGGGCGTTCTTGAAAGCTATGGATGAGAGGGTTTGATTGAGTGTGGTGAATGGTTGGATTGCCCCTAGTACCACAGTGAAGAATGTAGTAAAACCCACCCCCATAGAAAACTGGACTAAAATTGAACTTGATAACTGTAATTGGAATAGTAAAGCCTTACATGCCCTTTTCATGGCTATATCCCCAGAGGAATTTAGGCGAGTGTCCATGTGTGAGGTAGCTAAAGACGTTTGGGATATTTTAGAAACCACACATGAGGGAACTCAGGCAGTTAAGAACTCAAAATTACAAATGCTAGCCACTAGGTTTGAAGAGATTAGGATGAGAGATGATGAAAAGTTTGATGTCTTCTATGCAAACCTTAATGATATAATAAATTCATCCTTCAACCTAGGTGAAAAGATCCCCGAGCCTAAGATAGTAAGAAAGATTCTTAGATCCTTACCTGAACATTTTAGGCCTAAAGTCACGGCTATAGAAGAAAGTAAGGATATAGACACTATCAAGGTAGAGGAACTTGTAGGATCCCTTCAGGCATATGAGCTTACCTTAGGTACTCCAGTTAAAGAAAAATCCATTGCCTTAAGATCCACTAGGAGTAACCGACCTGAATCATCTGATTCTGACTCACCCAATGATGAGGAGATGACCTATCTAGCTAGAAAATTCCGAAAGATGTTTGGGAAGAAGAAGCTAGAAGAGAAACCGAGAGGTGGCCCGAGTGAATCTAGGAGTGTCTAAATCTGTGAGATGCCAT